TCCGATTCCTGGTATCAGCCCACAGTCCGTCTATTCTGGGCCTGCGAGCAATGCGGCTACTACAAGAATCATTCACAATACATACCAAAAACTATATGCCAATCACCTGACATCTTCAGCATTTGATTGTACAGTGTTCCGGTAACGTTGGTGGCATGAAAGTACTGTCGGTAAAGTGGGAAGTGGACGGTGAACCTATTTCCCTAAAACGACGCGTCCTCCCATACGGTCAACGGGAAGGTGTCCTGGAAGCGTTACAGAAAATGGAGCAGGATGATGTGATAAACAAAGTTGAATGCAGTGCCTGGGTTACCGCGATCGTCGTGGCGATGAAAAGTGATGGTAGGACACACCGGATCTGTAGAAAATATCGAATGACGTTGAATCCCAGATTGCGGAGACGTGCAGCGACCCCCATGGAACCAGAGGATTTCATGAAGTCATTGCAGGGGTGCTAGTAATTTTTGAAGATCGATTTGGCGGACGCATACCTTTAGACTCCACTCGATATCGAATCTCGCTATTTGACAACAATCAACACGCCGTGAGGACTGTGCCAGTACAATTTTCTCCCATTCGGATTACATGTGTCGTCTGGCCTCTTTCAAACGGTAATAGACAGTGTAAGCAAAGAACTCGATGGTGGGCTTGCATATCAAGATGACGTTCTCATTTTCGGCCTTAATAAGAAAGAACACGATGCTCGTCTGACGCAGCTGCTGGAACGATTCGCCGCCAGGAACATAGTTATAAAGATGTCCAAATGTGTGTTTGGTGGGAGTGAGTTGGAGTTTCTAGGATTCACAGTTGATTCCTGTGGATACCGTTTTGATCCGACATGTTTCAAACCATTGACTGACATCGAATCTCCAAAGGATCAAACGCATTTGAGATCCGTGATGGGATACCCACCGTACTATTGCCGATTTATCCAGAAATTTGTTTCAAGGGCGCAGCCGCGTTCCGTGCTCAGTGTTCAGGCGCTTGGGAAAGATCGGTGCAGTGTGAAGATAACTTAAGTGGTTTAATTCGCTCGTTACTGATCGTCCTGTTTTAGTCCCGTCTTCACCATGAAAACCTACTACACCCATCACCGATGCGTTCGACGTCGGAACCGGTGCTGTATTAAAATCAATGGAGATGACATTAAGATCTGCCGAGAGATTCAAAGCCCGTTAGATAAGTGCATCCTGCAAAAGGACCTAAACAGGCATTTTACTTGATCGGTCGCAAACGCGTTGCCGTTTAACTCTGACAAATGCAAGGTTATACATATTGCAGGGCATAGTACAAACAACTACTTGCTGGGAGGTAGAACATTACAGATGGTCGGGAATGAAAGGAACCTGGGCACAGTCATTACCGATGATCTGTCCCAGCAAACTAACTGCAACTCACTGGCTCGGAGGGCAATGTTCAAACACGATCTACTAAGCTGACTTTTAGTGAAATTCACACCAGAGTCTTTCCCTAAGATTTTTCCTGCGCTCATTAGGCCACATCTAGAGATCAACATCCAGGCGTGCTCACCGCTGCCTAGGAGGGATATCAACGCCATTGAGCGGGCACAGCGGAAAGCCACAAAACGAATGCGTGGCTTCTCACGCACACCTTACCCGGACAGACTCCGTTCGCTCAACTTGTACAGCATGGAGTATACGAGGGTAAGGGGCGACTTGATCCTCCTGAGGGACGCAATTAACGTTCAGGAGCACTCTAACAGGCATCTGTTCACGATGGCCCCTCCGTCAGCACTGCGCGGCCACTCCATGAAACTGGAAAGGCAGCGTCCCAGACTGAGAGCCCGGGAACACTTTTTCTCGGCACGTGTATGTCGCCCTTAAAACTCACTGCCAACGACAGTAGTCCAGGCTAAAAGTGAACAGTCGTTCAAAAAGCTACTTGACCAACACAGCCGGACAGTACCCTGGAGCTTCGTTCGATATACCGTTACCGGCAATCGGAGCGACCCCAACCTGGGACATATGAACA